GTACATTAAACTAACCTTTATTAATTTCTCTAGTTTTATTTTCCATATTATCGCCTTCCATATTTTCACCTTCTACAGCTTCACTAACTTCGGCTTCTATATCAACAAGCTCAACTTCCACGTCATCACCTTCTACAGATTTATCTTTTACAAGTTCGACTTCTACACGTTTGTCTTCTTTAGACTTATCTTTCAAAGGTTCGAAAGCTTCACCTTCTACATGCTTGGTTCTCATGCATATAATTTTCACATATTCATCTTTTGTAGTTTCATTCTCCACAGGTTTGTCTTCTATCAATGTACCAAGCCTGGGTTTATCTTGCAGCATAGATTTACCTTCAAATAGTTTCTTGAAACATGCAAGTAAGAGGTTTGTAAAAATAAGTATATGTATTTAAACCCTTTGCAAAAATAAACTATATCATTATTTACTTACATACAAATATAAGTTTTTAATTAACTTTCTGTTTTATACGGCATATAGAGATCTTTGTTTATTGTTTATATATATTCATACGTAAGGGGTATTTTAGCAAAAGAAAAAAAAAAAAAGTATTGTCTCCCTCCTGCATGATTAAACTCCGTTGTGATCATTGTAATACGATCGCTAATATTCCTAATCTTCGATCTGTATCACGATGCGATATACCGCACCTTGTTTTAAATAAATTTACCCATATGATATTATACCGATATAATGAATATTTTTTGCATGATAATGTTGATAATAACGATTTATTTATATCAGTTTTAAGAATATAGAATAATATTTTAGATTTATTAATCGTTATTAAAACGATTTAGACTGATATTTGAATGATCATATTAATTATATGTTATATATTTGAATTTTATATTAGTAATCTTTGTATCGACTTTAATTTAGGATGATCAATTACTTTCTTTAAGCATATTTTGAATAATTTTTTATGATTATAGTTTATTGACTAATTACTTAATAATCTGTTAATTGTTTTTAGAGAATTAATTGCCGATATTATTAATTGTCTATTTATTTTACGAATATTATTTTTTTGATAATATTATATTTTATATGATATATTACTATTTAATATTTCATTAGATGATATTTATGTTATATGTTTACCGATTTTATATTTATTAAATTTAATTATTTCAAATAAATTCTATTTTGAAAAAATTTATCACCAGTAGCGATATCTCTGTGATACTATATCTCTAAAACCTGCTAGCTAATACATGTCGAAGGTACTAAGTAAAATGTTTAGAACCCCAAAAACCTAACTATAATCCAGTTTTGGACCTTTATACCTAACTCTATCCTGGTCTAAAATTGTACTCTATCTCTGTATTTGTTAAAAGAAATAGATGGTGGTAGTATCACTACAGGTTAAAAATGCTAAAATTTATTTTAAAAAATAAAAATTAAATGATAATATATAATTAACATCTATTTTTACTTTTGCGATATTTTCTTAGTTTTTTTGCTTTCATCACTCTTTTCTCTCTTTCTCACCCTTTTTTTACCTTGTGCTTTTTTTTTTACCCGCATGCTCATCCTCAGCCTCACCTCCACTTTTATTCTCACTATCACCTTCCTCACCATCATTACTACTACCAACATTTTCACTTGTATATCAGACTCATCGTCAGATATTGATGTAATATTCATAGAGAGGTCTTTTGTAACTCTTGATGGTGTTGTTGCTTCTGCTATTGTTGATGATGCTGCTGTTGTTGCTGCTGTTGCTGCTATTGTTGCTGCTGTTGCTGTTGCTGCTGTTGCTGTTGCTGTTGCTGCTGTTGTTGTTACTGCTGTTGTTGCTGCTGTT